CATTTCATTTAATTTTATTGGAAATTAAAAGACGAGACTCGATCCACTTTAGTTCATTGTTTTACTTCAAATATTTAGCCGCATACACTATAGAAATTAAGTTTATGAAGTTTAACATCATTCCATTTATTCTTGTTAGAAATATTTACATTTTATAAGACCTTTATATAAATGCTATTTTTAAGAGACTGGTCACAGAGGCCATGAAAAATATCGGATTTCAATCTTGCCGCATTTTTTCCAGGGGCGTATCCAAGGGGGGGGGGGTCACAGGGCGCCCGTGACCCCTTCTTTCAAAGCCAAAAAAATCTAACCGGCCGTTGATGCAGTGTGTGAAGATTTGTTTAGACTTAACTTAAGCAGTTAAGAAAATCGGTTTTCTCGCTTCTCGGAGCCGTCTTTTCGTTTCGTTTCCCCTCTATCGACCATAATTCTTTTTCGTCAAAACAATAGATTGCTATGACGTCATATTGACGTCATAGTGACAATTTGGTATGTAAGGACCCCCTAATTACAAATCCTGGATACGCACCTGTTTTCTAATCGTTTGYGTGTGTACTGACTCACACAGCTTCATGCAATACAAGGAGCTTATGATTACTTATATAAATTGTATATAATCTAGAATTTGATATTCATGAGTGGGAAAAAATTAACCTTATTTAAAGTGGAATTACAGCAAAAGTGTATATATCATGGATTGGCTCCCCGTGTCCTTTCAGAATTTCACTGAGATATTTAAATATTTTTCTAATATATATTTGAATTTTATACCAGTTATATGCCATTTCAACAGTGTCTTGATTTAAGTTATTTGGCTTATCATTTGGTATTCTATAATTATCTTGTAGTCTTGATGATGGTATACGTAATTTAATATTCCATAACTCATCAGCTGTACCGCTGTGTTCAGTCCTTTATTACACAAATACCAACGGTAAAGTAAACAATGCAAGGCTTCAACTGTACAAACCGACTTTGAAATACCAAGAACCTTGACTCGAACACGTGAATATCCTGCACAAAATCAAGGCTAAACCTGAGCAACAGTGAATTCAAAACTCGAGTATACTTGCTGTTTGGATCGTCCACAACATTGTCACCAAAATCCATCACATTCACAAGTGATAACTCGTTTGTCTCAAGCCATAGTTACCCCTTTGGTTGGTTTATTTGAGGACACATAGAAGGCAGGCTGTTCGTATCCTCTTCCTATCGGTTGTGCTCCTTCTCCTATTGGTTCGCTTTTATGGGGTTTGAAAGATCCAGTATACCTGCGAAAAATTCATGATTATCTACTTTCACACCCCCATAATGCCATGCGTCTTTGGGGGGTAACCAATCAAAAAACTGTCCCAAATT